TAAAGGCACTTAAACCTGAGAAAGAAGTAGAAAAGAAAGAGGAGGAAGAAGAGGAGGAGGAGGAGGAAGAGGAGGAGGAGGAAGAAGAAGAAGAAGAGGAGGAGGAGGAGGAAGAGGAGAAAGAAGAGACAAAGGAGGAGGAGGAAACAAAAGAGGAGGAAGAAGAAGAAGAAGAAGAAGAAGAAGAAGAAGAGGAGGAGGAGGAGAAAGAAGAGGAGGAGAAAGAAGAGGAAGAAGAAGAGACAAAGGAAGAAGAGGAAGAAAAGAAGGATGAAACGGGTACTGACGATGATAAAGATCCAAAGGAAGTACCAGAGATAAACATAAGAGAGGAAACTAATGGACGGCAGTCACCTCCACCTCTTGAAGAGGAGGAGGAAGAGGAAGAGGAGGAAGAAGAGGAGGAAGAAGAGGAAGCAACTGTAGTTGTTGTTAAAGAAGAAACTGATGGAGACACTAAAGTTGAGCCTCCTCCATTACCGGAAGAGGAAGAGGAGGAGGAGGAGGAGGAAGAAGAAGAGGAAGAAGAGGAGGAGGAGGAAGAAGAAGAGGAGGAGGAGGAGGATAAACAGGAGGTTCCTCCAGCTGATAAGTTTTCAAAGGAAGAAGTCGATCATCATGAAGCCACACCCCCTGTCCAAACCCCTCCCACTGATAGACCAGAGTCTCCGATAATTAAAGACCCTTCACCACAGCCTTCTCCATCTCCCCCTCCCCGTTCACCAGTCCAACCAGCCAAACAAAGTAATTTTATTTTTATCTTTTTATTATTTTAAAAATTGTTTTTCATGTTTTCTTCAGCTCCGAAAAAGGGTGGTGGCCTATTTGACGATGACGATGACGACGATGATTTTTTCTCTATTACAAGTAATGATAAGGCCACGTCCTCTTCAACAAAAGAAACAGTCAAACATGATAAAGAAAAAATAGAGTAAGAAATGAAAATTTTAAGTACATTTTAATAATTTTTTTTAGTTCCTCAATATTTGGAGCTTCATCAGATTTTGCTTTCGGTCAAGATGAAGATGATAATCTGTTTCTGTCACCTTCCGCTCCAGAACCAGCTGCTAAACAAGACGAACCCACTAAAGATTCACCCGAGGTAAGGAAGAGAAGAAAGTGGTAGCCATTTTACTTTTAACTAGTTAATTAACTTTTATAAAATGGTAACTTAACTGTTTTGTTAATTTGTTAGACCACAAAGGCAAAACCTCCTCCTAATCCGTTATTTGGTGATGATGACGATGACGATAAAGATGAGTGGTGGAATTAGGAAATTTAAAACAATCTTCTGTACGACTGTGTGTTTGGGTGGGCGTGTCTATGGCCGATTTATTATTATTATTATTATTATTATTATTTTTGTTGTTTGTGATTAGTCAATTATTGTGCGTGTGTGCTTTTGTGAGCTGCTGTGTTTGTTTCTTTTTTTTAAATTGAGATCCTTTCAAGTTTTTGAAAGACATTCCTTTTGTACAATAATAATTATTATAAATAATATATTATATATTATTATTATCATTGATTAAATTACGTTATTGTTGAAACGTTACTGTCCCAACGCTGCTGTTTCTTGCTCTTTTAAAAATTGTTCGACTGCCATTAATTGGAGGCAACACCTTGCTTTTCCCTGAGCTGTTGTACAGCTTTATTGACTGCTGGAAACTGCTCAAATGTGAGCTAAAGAAAAGAATTTCAAAAAGAGTTATTCTCATGGCATTTATTACTTGAATCTGTGTGTCATTTTCTCCAGTTCTTTGTTGTAATATTTCACAGTTTTATCAACCGCGGGTTTTCCTGTCCCAGCCTAAGAGACAAGATGACAATGTTAGATTAAGAAAGTATTAGTTACCATGGTGACGACTCTTTTTATCTGAATCTTGTGCTGTTTCTGTTGGGCCGTGAGAGTAATACTTATGTCATCCTAAAAAGAGAGAGTTTTAAAAATTGACATTGTAATTATTATTATTATTATTTACGTGATTGTTGTATTTTATAGTGAGGTATTGGTTTAGTCTGAACACAAGAGGAAGGTGAAGAGAATAGGTTCCACTATCGGACCAAACCCACGTCTTGCTCCTCCCAGAATTATCAAACAGAAAACCTTCATGTAGCGTACTCAGAAACCTAAAAACCTAGTCATGTGATTGTCATGTGACATAAGCCTACCTTATTGAATAATCTCCCTTTACCCAGCCCCTCCCATAATCATCAACATAACCAATCAAATCACCTCTTTTGCTGTCCTATTTTTAGAATAATTTATAGCGTTACTAAATTTAGCCTTTTCATTAATTAACGGTGTTACTATATTTAGCTACTGGCTCACTTTGAATATTAAGTACACGTTGATTGATGGATGAAGAGTTACTTGAAGTAATGCTAAATTATCTGAAGGATAACTGTGACCAAAGTTAAGTCAAAAAACAATTCCTTTATTAAACAATATTTCTAAAAAATCAAGAAGATTAACTATTTTGTTATCTGCAGTGATGTTCATAATATTTATAATATTTCACGTGCATCAATTGTTTAAGGATACTATACTTGTCCGGTATTATCTGGTAGTATAACTGAGAGCGGTTGTCCAGAGCTATAGCATATCTTGTCAATGTATCCACAACTAGCATCATCTGGAGGAGCATCATCAATGGGTATTGATGGTAATGGAAGCACTACTGGCATTGGTTGCTTCTTCTTTTTCTTTTTTCCTATTAGTACATATCAGCAGCATGGCTCACTCTCTTTAGTGCAGTGTCAAATCATTAGGCTAAGAAACATGGGCTATAATAGGGTCATGGGCCAAATTTCACCAAAAATCAAAAGGTGAGAATTCTCCATTTTATAATGTTTTTGGATGCATATACATGTTCTTATATTGTGTAGAAAGTTTGAGTTGATTTCGATCGAAATTGGATTTTAAAAAAATTTTTTTAAGTTGCTCCAAAATCAGACAAAAGTCCCTGTACTATAGTACAGGGTCACGAGCCAAATTTTGCGAAAAATCAAAAGAGTGAAAATTCTCCATTTTCATAACATTTTCTGATGCATATACATGTACTTATGTTGCGTAGAAAGTTTGAGTTGATTCCAATCAAAATTGAATTTTTTATGAATTTTTAAAGTTGCTTCAAAATCGGACAAAAGTCCCTGTACTATAGTACAGGGTCTTGGGCCAAATTTTGCCAAAAATGAAAAAGTGAGAATTCTCTATTTTTATAATGTTTTTTATGCATATACATGTACTTATGTTGCG